GACCAACCCATGTAATAAACTTATCCCCCAACCTTTTACCCATGAACACGATCTAAGAACAACAAATAATCTACCATATGTTGTATCGTATACTAAAAGACACCGGCAATCCTTTATACCTAGAGCTATATCCCTTTTTAAAACAGTCCTAAATTAATTTTATAGAATATATAACTAGTATAAACATTTTTAGCAACATTGATGTAAATAATAATACAATTTCTTCTTATCAATTTTAACCTTAGCACTTCTTGTAAATCCATTGTACTTTTCTAACCAAAGATGGATATTAAATGTTATTATTATTACATCCCACGTATCCGAGAAAATATGTATTATGTGACATAAGAGAGTCAACTCAAGGCGTGAGAGGGGCTACAGGGCATAGCGCCTAGCTAGCGCCTGTATTACGACTAGCGCCTGTATTCTAAAAGCTCTCTCAGACTCGCATTTAAAGAGTGGAGGCTCCTATTCTCAATAGCTGGAGGGTTAGTATCGTACCTTACTATGTGACTACTCACCCACCAGCTATTCAAAAACAGCATTGACACTCAAGCGAATCTTAGATTGAACCTCCACTCTTTGAGTATGAGTGAGTTTTTAGAATACAGGCGTAAGAATCATCGAGACAGGATCGATGTTACTTCTATACGGGGCTATCACTACTCACAAGCAAGGAATGAACAATATATTACATCAAAGTTACCTCTTGCCCATTATTCATTAGTCTCACATCATCAGTTTGAAATCTTGTGGATCATAACTGTTCACACCTAAATCTGCATAATGAATGTTTAATCTCCCGAGTTATTCAGCAATTATTGGGCAAGGACCTTGTGTGCATTAATAGATCTCTACTATATAGATCTGATCAAGCAGGGTGTTTAGGATGAAGTGACGTATAAGCATTTTCAGGTATTCAACCAGCCAATACAACCATGTACTGAATTTACAAGAGTAGAAGTTAACTGTTTATTGGACGAGAAAACTAACTACTTTATTTACTCTTTAGGTTAGTCCGTAGACATATTTTTATGGCAACTTTTAACAATTTCGCAAATGTTAGCGGCTTGCTTTGGAGTATTAACATTACATGCATATTTTTTAAAGTGACTTGATGCATTTTTTACAAATTAAATGGAAAAAAACGCGGTTTAGATCCGTATTTTTGGATTGCAAAACAGACAGTTTCTTACTTATATCTAAACGTTTTAGCTTTTTCACAGCGGTTACCTAACTCCATTGTTATGGCAAAATTGACGTTTCAATGTCCAAAAAAACTTCAGTAATATAATGTTATGTGTTTGGCGTCTAGACAACAACTGACTTCATTTACTCTATCTGGATATATACACTAGCTGATTATGACTAATTTAAATATATTACAACTCTCCCTTAATAATCAAAACTAATTAGTCATGCCAGTTCAAGTTCGATGTACTATAATCTATACTTAACTAGGTCTAACTAGGACTACCTATTTAACTAGGACTAAATGTTTGAACGGTTTTGGATACTTGTTCTACCGCTTCTGCTTGTATATACTGCATGCTTACTCCTGTTCTCAAATTGTTCAACTATTTCTCTCTTCTTACACAATTTTAATTGAATTGTCAGTTTCCTCAGGTTGTCCTACTGTTGCTGCAATTTCTTTTTCTTTATATTTAAGTTGCCAGCTATACTGCTCCGATTTCAGCAAATGGCATTGATTCCTTCGATATCTTCAGAAGTTTGTACTATATAACTACGTTTTTCATTTGCATTCCTCGTAACAGTTGCTGGTTTACACGTTTTCCCATCTCACATTCTTACATGATCTTCGTTCTCAAGTGTAGGAAGACTTCGAGCCTGTTTATCATAATAGGATTTCTGTTTTTGTTGTGTCTTTTTTTGATTCTTCTGAAAAACTTGTACATCAAAGACTTCAGGTTTGAAGTGCTCAGGTAATGATGGAATGATAGATCTTAAATTGGGACTCATCAGGAGTTTGTGCTGGACTTGCGAATCCATCGACTGGGGTGTTTCTGTTTTCCAGTATGGCCAGGCATGGATTTTGATGACTACTTAAGACCTCTGATAATAACTTCTTTACCGAATGCAGAGTCTTTTCAATTCGGTTAGTCTATTACAACTTCTGGATTATCTAGCAGTAATAAATTTACGTGGTGCATGTTTTCACAAAGAAAAGTATTATATTTCTTTAATCTGTTCTTCGGAACAACCGCTGACTTCTTTACTTGACTTCAGACTGGAGCCTTAATAAGATTTAACTGGTTACACATTTCCAAACTGAGAACTGCATGTTCTGCTGTCGTTTCGACGTGGTAGAACTCCGTCTCTAACTCTTTCACTTTATACGATCATGGTAGCATGCATGTTTCGTGACTGATATCTTTTCTCCCCTATGCCCTGTCAATTTGGTATTGGTTGCTTTCATTCTTACGGCTTTTGATATTTTCTTATTGTTGGGCATAATATTTACCGCTGCTCCAGTATCTAACTTTACGCGAACTTTTTCATTTAATACCCTGACAACAGCAAGAGCCTCTGTGTCCTTTACCGCTTGACTTTCCAAAATATTCACAATCTCAAGAACAAAATCGTCATTTGAATCTAATCGGTTTGACTCTAACCGCTTTGTTGCTGTGACGTATTTGTGTGGTCCTAGACTTTGCTTTGGGTATGTACGACGCATCTTCTGACATTTGTAACATTCTTTGCCGTACGCGGGATAGTTTCGTACTTCATTTCTGCCACAATTTTTGCATGGCACGTCATTTGATTTCTTTGTTTTTCTCCCTTGCACTTGTTTACTTCTCCAGTTTCTATCGCTTGCACTCTATCTTTGTTTTGCCCTGTCAGGCTTTTGTTCACAGCGCCTATTTCGTTGATTCCCCCTGGAATAATTTTATTTATTGTTGAGTAACTTATGAGACCGGCTAAGTAATGTCATTTTTTGAATTGAATTTGAATTTAATGAATTCGCCATTTTTAATGACAGGTGAAGGACACAGAACCATTAGTCCCAATTGAAGGCCTACACCGGAAATATGTGCCTAACCCACCCTGTCAACTTTCCCTATGGGAGGAAACCGGAGTACCCAGAGAAAACCCACGACCTTCGGCAGAGCGTTGACTTTTTACTCTTTTCACATGAGGACTGGGTTCGAGTCACATTGGGAAATTCTCATCGAGATTTGAACCTGCGACCTTAGAGGTGAAAGGCAAGTGCGCTAACCACTTGGCCACCGAGGCCCCTACTTTTTTCTAACGTTATTTCTGATTAGTCTATCTCTTAGTTCATCCGACTCAGGCATTAAGATATCTTTTACAGGGCCGTCTGACATAATAGGGAGTTTCCGAATGTAAGACGGCGACGTCTGGACGACGGCTAAAAAAACTGTTCGAAATAAATAATTCTATGGAAATTTTGTCTTGTATTATTTTTCGTACAAAATTAAAATAGTTTCGAACGGGTAAAACAGAGCTTTAACCTTCAAAGCAATTTTGTTCAACTTCGCTAGAAAAACTACCTGTCAAGGCGTGAACTTCTAGCGTTCTATACAAGACATGGAAATATTCATTTTGCCGTTGTCAACAGAGTTTGGACGACGTCTAAAACTCCTGCTAGACGTTTAATTATTCATTTCTTTTGTACTATAGGATTAATGTCATTGTATTGATAGCCGTCGTCCTGACGTCGCCGTCTTACATTCGGAAACTCCCTAATGTCCGGTGACGTTGAGTTTGGGTCGAACATATCTCCGATGACCTTCAGTTCAGTTTTGACTCGGACATAAGTCCGAATGACACAAATGATTAAATAATTTGTTTCTTTCATACGTATTTCCACGCCAAAGTTAACTTGCTTGCCAGAACAGCAGTATTAAGAAAGACTTCGATTTCGAGCGAAATGCTCGCCGCCCCGCGTTCGACTACATTAAAACAACATTTCCAGTTCACCTTCTGTACAATAGTACTCTGATTTTCCATTTAATTTAACATACAAGCTTTTGGTCCTGGACTAGGGTACATTACGTCGGACAAAGCACGAGGTTGCAGTTCGGTCCGACACCAATACACTCGGGTCGGACAAACAATAAACCTCAGTTTCAATTTGGTTGGATAGAATGTCCGGTGGTTTCCTCTCTACGTCGGACAATTTTATGAATGGGTCGGACAATGTCCGTGACCGACCGATATTTTAAGTCCTGCGACTGAATTCTAGCAACCAGTTGGCTTTAATTGTTGTTAAGTCATTTACGAGATCGCTATATTCACACCAGCTAGGGTGCTAAAGTTTTTAATTCTGCTATGCAATGGTCGACTGATTCTCCTGGATTTTGCCGTTTTGTGTTAAACTTATGCCGTTCTACAATCAGATTTCCTTTGGGTTTGCAATAATCTTCAAATTTCTTCAATAAGCCCGCTACAGTTATACCGTCTTCGTCTGCAGGGTCAACTTTGTCATCTCCCAGACCCAAGCATTAAATATTTCTCGTCCTGCTTCGCCAATCGAGAACCCAAACCTGACACCATGTTATAATGTTATGTGTTTGGCGTCTACAGGGTGTATCAAAAACATACTAGCATTTCAATGTCTGTGCTATTTATTTTGCTTCTGGAATTTGAAAATACATTCTAATTAGATAGATAGATATTTAATAAATTTCTCCCTAAAAGGGTTTTTCAGACATTATTTACAGTTACATGCATGCCGTAATAATTATGGTTACAAATATAAGTTTAAACAATTATCAAAGACTATATACAAAGTTTAGTTGGTTATACTAAGTGTTATCTTTTGCAAGCAAATGTTTTTTAAGTGCTACTTTAAAAATTTTAAGTGAAGTGCAGTTTTTGAAGTTCTTCTTATCAATTAACCGCGTTAATAGAAATTAAAATAACACAAAGTTTTTTGTAGAGTATTGCAGAAAATTAATTATCATTTCGACTGCGATTGGGTCAACTATTGTGTTTACGCACGCTTGGAATCAATTAGTTCTGAATCATGCAAGTTCAAAAAACATTGTATTTCAAAGGGTTTGCAAGTTTTTTGATACACTCTGTAGATAATATCTGAATTTATTTACCACATCTTAATCCCCGAGCCGACGGCGCGAAGTGCCGTGCGAGGGTACTAATTCCCCCGGCTATTTACACCCGTGGAAACGAAAGCATTAGCCAAGTCTAACGTTCATCAATGAGCGCGGGCGTGGGTTACCGTGAGTGGTTCGGTGGTTCGGTGGGTGGTCATCCTCACTGATCTCAAAAATATGGCGGACTGTCATGAATAGCGGACACTGATTGGTCTAATTTAAAGTTTGCATTATAACGACTGTCGACTGTATGACGACAGCGAAATAGCAAATATTTCTTTATTTGATGATTGATAAATTTCTTGCAAATATATCTAATTTTTGCTTGCATTTTTGCAAGATTTTGTAAATTTCAAGAAAGAAAGGGCGAAAGAATCGGCTAAAAGAAGGGAGCCGACGCCAACGAAGGTAACTTTGTTTTAAATATTGATTCTATAATTGCTTTAAAACCCGACGGCAGCTTTGGCCCTTTGGCTTTGCATATATGAAACAACTAAACAAGACAGCATATAATTTCAGTGTATTAATAATATTGATTCCCTTTTTTATTATATTGATATTTTTAAATACAAAAGAAAGCAAAGTTATTTGCATGCGAGAATTTGAAATCATTTTATTGCAAACTCAAAGTTTATCGATAAAGAACATATTTATTTATAAAGAACATTTTTAAACGTTTTGCGAAGCTTTTGTGGTTGAATTTTACCTTAAATTGACCATTTGCGTAATAGACTAAATTGACTGAAAATTGCAAATTTTACAAGGCTATATTTTCCGCATTTTACAACATTTTGCAACGAAACTTTGGAATATTACTAATTTTGTGATGCTCCTTCAAACTGTGATGAAATTTTTGTCTAGACTTGTTTAGTTCAAAATTTAGTCTATTACGCAAATGGTCAATTATATGTAGGGAAATTGATAATTTTGTAATTAAAAGTGATATTTTTAGGCGATTTGTAAGAATATTCTTAAAAAATTATCGTGTTACCATGACAACAACTTTGGATACTTCATGTTCGGAAAATACAATGGTTTTGTCAGCAAGGCGAGGGTTTCTGCATGCATGCATGTATTTTCTAGTATATACAGTACACTAGGTGATTATGCTAATTTAAATATACTACAGGTGACTCCACTTTGTCCCATTAAGTGCTTTCTTTTGGCATGTTGAATTATGATTTTATAATCTTTTATTTACTTAAACAAAATTCTAAACAATCAAATTCACGTGGCCTTCAAGGATGTTCTTAAATACTTTGTATACATTGCTTTGCGTAGTGACGTAATTTTGTAATTCGCTGTCAACAAAAAAATATACGCAGAAAGTAATGTTTCTTTATTGTCCATTGATTTTGATTTTTAGCACAGGTTCTTTAAAACAAAAAAATTAGTTAGCCCCCCAAAACCTTGTTTGTCTTGAGGATTTTACTATGTTGTTTTCCCGAATCGAGCTAGAGTCATTATAGAAAGTGTTTGAGAGGGTTAAAAAGTGGGCGAAAGGGTAAAACACGGATGGCCCACTAAATTGCACTTAACGCGTGCAAATGATTCTGCTTGAATAGAACATAGAGTTATTAAATACTAACAATCAGTTGATGAATATACGTAAGTATGCTCCATTGTGAATGATGGTTTATATATGTCATGTGTTTTTAGGGTATCGGTGGAAGATTTAAAAGTCAAGCTATCAATTCAGTGAGTGACAATTTGCTTAAAGCTGGGGAACTGTTAAAGGATATAAACCCATCGAGGCGAAGTTGTTTAACAACATTCACAGAATGTTTTGATCTGGTTACATGGTTAAGAGAGAGCATAAAAGGTAATGAGCCAATGCAGAATTAATATTGTCAGCGGCAATGCTGCATATGCTGGTTATTTGTGTAAATAGCCTAGATTTATCTGTCTTTTCTTCTATATTAAATTAATGGCTCTCAATTAGCACTTTAATTGTATGCTAGATACGCCTTGATGTCGATAATATTTAGAGCTGTCATTCCAGGCCTGAAGATAACAAGATATGGAGGGTCAGTCAGTCTTGTCTCTGAAGTTGCCGGACTGCTCAGCAAAGTGCACCCTGGAATATTAGAATATATGGTTGACAGATTTTGTGTAACATATTATCTTCTTTTGAACTCCATTGCAGATGAACAAGAGCTTAAAGTATTTGTTGATTTGGCGATGATTTCAGCTGGGGAAGATGATATGGAAATTGACCGAATTTCGTGCATGCACACCAGTTGTCTTGGGTTTGGATCATTAATATTTGGTTACAGAACAGATCATGGTTTTGAAGAATTAATGCGACTTTGTCAACCGGTGTGGCAAGCCGTTGACACAAATCCAAGCATTCAAGAAAAATTGGTGAGCTGTTTTGAAATTTGAAATGTTTAATTTCACTATCGTTCTTAACTGATCTTCCCAATTTCAGGAGTGTAGACTGTCGCTTACATTGCCCATATGCTTAATAAGCATAAGTTATGCTCATATTCTCAATAGTTATATAGATACAGTTTTATTTTTTAAGGTAACACAGGGATGCAAGCTCGTTTAGTATGCATGCAGTTAATTAACAACTAGACAACGAAGCCGAGTTGACTATCAGCGAATAGTCAACGAGGCGAAGCCGAGTATGGAAAGCGATTTGGTGCAAAATTCAAGCTTTAAAATTCTACCAGTTTCAACAAACGCCGATCAACATCAACCACCTTTTTATAATACATTCAACAAACCGATTCAACGTCAACATTAATTCCGTTCCAAATTCAACTATTCAAAAAGCCTTCTATATTAACACCGATTTTTGTTTCACAACCAAGACGAGTTTCCTGCTTCAGAAGCATGTTTAGTAGCTCAAGATCAACATTAAAATTTGTGCCAGATTCAAGCAAGCAAAATTTCAATCAGCAAAACTCGAAACGCTGTCAACAAAACCCGAAACGCTGTCAACAAACCCAGTGTTTCCACTCCCAAAAAATAATTTGCTTCTCTTTAACCCAAAATTTCCTTTTTTCCCGAATTTTTTCGCAAAATTTCCTTCCAAAAATTTCCTTCCAAAATTTTTATCAAAATTGACAGATTTATCTGGTAATTAACATCAAAATTCTAGTATTGAAACACACTATATTAATCTATAGTAGATAACTCTGTATTTTGCAGGTTAATTAAATTCAGTTCATCTTCATCATCCTCTAATATATGTCCTCCCATGGAATTTCCCTCCCATTAAATTTACTCCTCCCTCTGGAAATTCCATGTGAGAATTACTCCTCCCCTTGGAATTCCAGAGCCTGGACCCCCCTTCCCTGGAAATTCCAGGGTTAATGCACCCCCTCCCCTGGAAATTCCAAGGTTAATGTACCCCCCCTGAAAATTTGAAAGTTAATGCACCTCTCCCCTGGAAATTCCAAGGTTCCTCAACAGGGGGGTGCGGATAATAATTGGAATAGCGCATTTGAGTTTCCTCATTTCTAAATCATGATCAACAATGACAACATCGCCATCATTAATAGATTCATTTTTTGCTCTAATAAACTCGAGTAAGTCGAATTCTATAAAAACAAATGATACAATCAGGAACAATACGTTAGAAAAGCTGCAATCTTGGACATAACTGGTTGAGACTATTTTCCCCCTATAGAAAATTTACGTATTTTTATGATAAACTCCATGTTGAATCATGTTACCATTCTTAACCCCCCGCTCCCTTAACTCAATGTTGAGTTTGTATCATGGTATATTACCAAAAGTTGTTGCGGCGGCGTTCACAACATTGAACTGGGGGGGGGGGGGGGACAAAGTTTGTTTTGTCAATGTTCAATAACTTTGTAATATTAGCTGGAATGGTCTCAACGGTTTTGTCCAAGATTGTCTGAAGCACACTGAATTTAATTGTGCATTATAACTCAATCTTTTTTAATTTTCTTCCACTCCAGTAGTCTGAAAGATGGATATACACGTTACTTCTTGTTTTTCGAGCAATATATATATTTGTTTGCATGAAAAGCGAGCAATATAATGCCTATTTGAACTTGTCACATCCTAAAATATACGCATGAAACGCATGAATTTTTCTTGTTGTTTCATCTAAAATATATAGTTTTCTACTGCCAGAAGCGAGTAATATCATGTTACTACGGCATAGAGGTCAAGACACATGCATTGGGATTTAATTCAATTATGTAAATATCACGTTCAAGTGTTGCTGTGTATACTAGGTATTTTTTGTAAGATGACGTCATTTGTTCTATAGGTTATCAGCCTCAAACTTGCTTTTAAAACTTATAATTTAACCCGACATTTTGTATATGACGGTTAACCAAGTATAATCTTTATCGTGGTTTGATAAAAGAACGGTAAACAGGCCATTACAACGGTAAACGGCGACTCCAATTTAAAACAATGACTAGACCTATCATTTACTATAAAATCTTGCTGCTATCCCCGTTTACCGTTGATATCACATCAAATCTTTTCGTTAATCGTTTGAAATGTTCTTATATATTATTATAAAAGGTTTTTATGCTCCAAAAGTCGTGGCGATATACTCGCATTTCTTTACTATGGCCAATTTGAACATGGTACAGGCGACCCTTTGTTCCTCGTGGGGGGTCGCCATACTATAATAACCTGTGAAAAGTGCCGATTGCCTATATGAAAATAGCTGTGTAGACAACGTTTAGCATGTCCATGATTCCATTTCTTTTTAAACTCTGTAGCTATGTTCTGTAGCAGTAGCTAATTGATTCAAATGGACCAGGGAACGTTCGCACGTTAGAGTGAATAGCCGTTTTCTGAGCAAACCATGTTATCGAGTTTGACCGATTCGGTTACTTTTAGTGTTGGATATGTTTTTACATTCACTATACGAAGCTTTCAATGATGATATGGAATAAGGTAGAAATCAAGTTTACCAAAAGTCCAATAAATAATTTACTTTCATCCAGACGTGTATTATGTCCTCCTAATTAATTTCCCTTCACTTACAATATAAATATAGATTTTGCACCGCCTGGAAT